TTTTTGGTAGAGACGGGATCCTGCTATGCTGCCCAGGCTTGTTTCAGTTTTTTATCCAGGTCACCAATGCACACCCCCAGCTAATTTTTTTCTTTTTTGGTAGAGATGGGATCTTGCTATGTTGCCCAGGCTTGTTTCAGTTCTCCATCCACGTCACCAGTGTACATCCCCAGGGCAGGGTCAGTGGACACGGTCCTGGCCCCAGGGCACCCTGTTATCCCACACCCTCCCCCAACTGGCCTTTTGGACTAGACAGCACCTTCCAGCACAGAAACCAAGGGCAGGATGACCAGTCGTGCCTGGTGGTCACCCTCCCCAGCACACCCCAGAGCCTTGCCTTCCGACGCTGAGGGGGCTACAGGACCGAGACTTCCCTGAGGGGAAGCTCAGGGTCTCGGGGTCTCAGGGCAGGGAGGCGGGACGAGGCATTGGCGACAGCAGCTCTCTCATCACCCGTCCCCCAAGTCAGCCTTGGATACTCTCTTGGTCAAGGATTTCCAGGCCGTGGCTAGGCTGGGGGCTGGGGGTCCCAAAGGAGCCCTCTGGGTCTGGTAGGTGGGCTCACCTTCCAGCATCCAGGCCCTGCCTGGCCCTCCCTACAGGTAGCACACGAATGTGTCCCCGGGGAACACTGCCATTCCTAACCCCGCCCCTCTTCCGTGAACTACCTGCAAATAACCAGATGCCTGGGGACACCCCCCCACCCACCCCGGCTCCAGAGAGGGGTGGGGGAGTTTCGGGGCTCCTGACCAATCCCAGCCAGACACGCAGCCTGCACGTGCAGTTCTTCAGAGCTGCCACTAGAGGGGACCCTCGAGCCAGCCTACCTGCTCTGCCCACCCCCGGGGGACTCAGCTCCCAGTTAAACCCCTCCACAAGTGGCAATGGGTGCCCCCGAATCCTCAACACCAACACCCCTGCGGAGTGGCCAGTTCTCTGGGGGCCTCAGCCCTGACGCCCCTCCCCACCCCAGAGCACCAAGCATGCTAGCACGCTCTCTCTCTCCCCCACCAACTCTCTCTGCACCCTCCTAGTCTCTCTCTCTGTCCCCCCTCCCCATCCCTCTCTCTCTCTCTCTATGCCCCTTCACAGCAGCTCTCTCTCTCTCTCCCCCCCCACCCCCAACTCTCTCTCCACCCTCCTAGTCTCTCTCTCTCTCTGTCCCCCACTCCCCACCCCAGAGCACCAGGCTTGGACTCTCTCTCTGTCTCTGTCTCTCTCTCTCTGTCTCTCTCTCTCTCTCTCTCTCTCTCTCTCTCTCTCTCTCTCTCTCTCTCTCTCTCTCTCTCTCTCTCTCTGCACCCCTTCACAGCAGGGATTCTCAATGCTGCCTGCACTTCAACAAACCCCAGGGAGTTCAAAAAATTCCCATGCCTGGGCACCACCAGCAGTCCTGGTTTAATTGGCCTGGGTGCAGCCTGAGCATCAGGATTTTTAAAGCTGCCCAGGGCATTCTCACAGGCAGCCGGGCTGGGAACGCCTGCTCTATAGCGTCCAGGACAATTCACCGTCTCAGCCAAGGATTTCCAGTCCCTGCACATGAAGGTCCTGTAGGATGGGGAGGGAGCGAGGAGCACCACGTCTGATTCCAGGGTCTACCGTGCTGTGGGGACCAGGAAGCACAGAGGAGCACGGAAAGGCCGGGAATGTGCAGAGCCTGCCCAGCCCCTTCCAGAATCCATGCCTGCTTTTCTTTTTTCCTTTCTTTTTTTTCAGACAGGGTATGTCTCTGTTACCCAGGATGGAGTGCAGTGGTGTGATCACAGCTCACTGCAGCCTCCACCTCCCAGGCTCAAGTGATCCTCCTGTCTCAGCCTCCCTCCCGAGTAGCTGGGATCATAGGCTCGCACCACTATGCCCAGCTAATTGTTTCATATTTTTTATAGAGACAAGGTTTTGCCATTTGTCCCAGCTGGTCTTGAACTCCTAGCCTCAAGTGATCTACCCACCTTGGCCTCCCAAAGTGCTGGGATTACAGGTGTGAGTCACAGCAACCGGCCTCCGTATCTACTTTTTAAAAATAAAAAGCAAGTTCCCAGCAGTCTGTCTTGGAGACAGGCTGTTTCCACTCCAGCCTCAAGACTGAAGCACACACTTCCGGGGCGGGGGTGACAGTCCCGTCCCCGTCCACCTCATCCCAGCACAAAGCTGCTCGTTCATCAAGCCTCCCCTGGCGCCGGCTAACAGGGGCCTGAGGGGCGAGCCGCGGCCAAGAGGCATTTTCTGAGCCTTCGTCAGGAGCAGCGCCCCCCAGCACGGCCTCCAGGTGGGGACGGGACAGGTCCCAGGCCAGGCTCCCTGACCCCATACCCCAGGCTGGTGCTCAACCTTCACGCAGACTCCACCCTACAAGGAGGCTCTTGGCCACAATTCAGCCCCTCGAGGCATCTGCGTTTTGGACGTGGGAGGTAACGGCCGCAAAATCACACAGAACTCGGGGTGACGCCAGGACTGGAAACAGATCTGTCAGGCTCCAGAATTTACTCCTTCACCACCATCTGCCTCCCATCAGCTGCGGACGGACAGGGACAGGCAGACGGGGTGTATTCTCAGTGGGGACTCGTGCAGCAGAGCAGAGAAGGGGGCCATGGGGAGCGCCCTCCTTGGCCCAGGGTCGGGGGAATGGTGAAGCCTCCCCCAAAAGCTGGCATGAAGGTGCCCTGTCGGCTGGAGCTGAGTCTCACACATACAAGCTGGTCAGTTAGGAGAGACGGGGAGGAGGAAGCCCAGGCAGAGGGGATCCCTGACCAAAGGCATGTGGCTGAGACAGCCCAGGAGATCCAGAGACGGAGGGGACCATGAACTTGAAGGTGTGCACGGTGGGGGGAGGAAGAGGGAGCACCATCGCTCAGCAGGGGCCAGATGGTGACGGGCCTTGGACCCTGCGTGAAGGAAATGGCACTTCATCCTGAAAATGATGGGTGGCCTCCGGGGGGTCCCAGTCAGAGGGGCACCTCGGTTTCCGGAGTGAGTGCCCGGCACCCCTGACCACTGTCCACTGATGCCAATTCACTCCCACCCTCGGTTGTGACAAAAAGTGTCTCCTTGTCTCCTGGCATTGCCACACACCCTGGGGACAGAATCAGTGAGAATCACTGCTCTACAAGAGCCGGGAGGTGCCTGGGCATCAGCGTTGTACAAGGGCTTCCCCGCAGAGCCCCCCGACACGTGCAGCCAGATTGGAAAACCATGGAGGCGGAGGGTGAGGAAAGGGGAACGGGGTGCATTCTCACAATATCCCCAGAGAGCAGCTATCACCAGCCTCATCTTACAAACAGGGAAACCGAGGCTCCAAGAAGACTAAGGACTTTCCCAGCTTCACACTAACCAGTGGTGCCTGAACTCAAGCGGCACTCAGGTCCCCAGCTCCTAAGGCCTGAGCTCCCTGTGAAAGGGGCTGCTGGACAGAGCTGACCGGCCAGGTTCTGGCTGGGGTCTGCCACTGAGTCCTCAGCCTCAAGCCCACCACCTCTCTGGGACACAGCTGGGCCCTGGGGACGCCCACAGGTTCTGCCGCACCGTCGGCTTGGCACCACCAGGGGGAGCTCTGACTGAGTCCGGACGGCAGGACCCACGCCAGGCCCAGAACCCGCGCAGCTGGGTTCCCCAGCCCTGGACGCCACCCAGCTCAGTGAGCCTCCGGGGACCTGGAGTCCTCGCTTACAGCTAACGGCGTCCTTCTATCTGCACTCTCAGATAATTGAGATAAGCGTTACCGGTTCACCCTGGGGCTCGAATGGACCGCATCTTACTGGAGGGGTGTGAGCAGGGAAACGCGCCCCACAGCCGCCCCTGCTGAGGCCGCAAAGCTGGAGTCCCTGCATCATGCCCCGCTGATCCCGGGCTAAATCGGCCTGGGGTGACTTTCACGCTGCAGGCCTGGCACAGACCCAGCTGGGTTCAAATGCCAGCCTGGCCAGAAGTCACTGACCTTCTCCGAGCCTGCCTTTCCCCTTTCCCCCAGGGATGATATGAGGGCCCGCCTCGTGGGGCGTGGGGTTGTGGAGAGCACACACATGCACCATCCACAGCCCATGGTGTCTGGCACCCAGGCAAGGCCCGGGCCGCCCGCAGCCAGCACACGCCCGGCTCACGCCACGAGCTCAGTAGTTACTGACCCGCTCACTGGCTGATGTCAGCTCTGCTTGTCTGTGGTCGGCACCGTTATTTGCCTAGAAACCTAATGAGCGTAAGGACCACAGCCAGGGCATAGGAAGGGGCTGTGCGAGTCGGACACGGGCCCTCTGTGCTGGCTCTGGGGGCTCCAGGCCTAGGTGAGCACACTGGCGCCCACCGCAAGGCCAGGAGGACCCTCGTGGGAATATGCGACCCTCCCCACTCAGGAAAGTCTCTTTGGGCTCCAAGGCCCAGGGGCCCACCGCAGGGCATGGGTTGAATTCCAGCTCCCGCTAGGGTGACCACCAAGGGTTCCAGGTGCTCTGGCCGGACTCCCCAGGGGCACAGCGGCAGCCAAGTCCGGTGACCGTGGTCAACACTGCCCGGGGCTACGTTCTGTCCTCTAGAGCTACAAGACAGAGGGAGGCTGACGGTTCCGAGGACCGCCGGGGGCAGGTCACAAGCCCGGTGGGCTGCCGGGTGGAGCAGGAGGCTGGGACCAAGCAGAGCAGCACATCCGGGCTTGGGCCAGCCCTGTGCGTGAGCCTCATGATGCCACCGGGCCTCTCGGGCACTCACTTGGGGACTGACAATCTCCTGCCCTCCCGGCGATGGGAACAGAGGAACCAGGACTCCAGGGGACACGGCCTCAGTCGTGGGCCCGTCACACCTGGCAGGGCCTGTTTAATCCCAGGCGAGGCAGCCGAAAGCAAGGAGGGAGGAGAACGTGGACGGGCTTCGGCACACCCTTCAGAGCCCGCGGGTGGGTCGGGCAGATGCCTCCAGCGCTGACCCAGCACCGCAGGTGAAGCAGGCGACTGCTTCCCACCCGGGTCAGGCCTCGGGGGCCGCCCGGGAGCCCCTGCCCAGAGCCGGGAACTCACCTGCTGTCGCTTTCCAGAAACACGGAGCCACGGTTCTCGGCCAGCGCTGCACTGATGGGTGAGAGGCAGAAGGGCGAGGAGAAGGCGTCGGAGTCCGAGTCGAAGGAGCTGTCCCTGCTCACGCCGTCCGCGGACAGCTCCAGGGAGCCATCCTCCTCCCCGGCCTCGGGCCGCGGCTCCCGCCCCTCCTCGGCGCCGTCCTGCGAACTGACTGTCGACAAGATCCCGGAGGGGCTGCGGGCAGGCTGCGAGCCCGGCCGGGCACCGTCCACCCCCAAGCCCTGCGCCAGCTTCTCCTCGTCCTCCGGCGCAGGGCTGGCCAGCACGCCGTCTGGCACGCTCTGGGCCACCACCAGGATGTCCTCATCTTTGGGGGTCAGGGTGGGCCGCAGCTCCGTGGGGGAGGGCTGGTGGGAGGCCCCCGAGCTCCGGGCACGCCGGCCCCGAGGGCGGGGCGCCTTGCGGACGGGGGAGCTCTCCGGCGTGATGTAGCGCAGGGCCTCCTCGTCCTGCCTCTGGATGCGAGAGTTGGGGACCCATGCCAGGATGAGGGTGGCTCCCAGCATCTCATCCTTCTCCATGTACAGGCACAGGTAACCTGTGAGGAGCCAGGGGGACGGCGCGTTAGAGGCGGGGACGCTGTGGATCAGGCCCTTATGGCGCCTCTGGCAGCAGCTCCTAGAGGCCACCACCCTTTAGCAAAGTGCCAGTCGGGCTTCAGATACAGCCTGGCCCTGAGCAAAAGCACCAGAGGGAAACAGCGGAGCTTGAAATGAATTCCAGCTCTGCGCGCTTTCTAGGAACACACGCTCTAGCAGGTCCAGGGCACGAGTCCCCCAGCGCCGGCCTGCCACGCCTTTTTGGTTTTTGTGTTTTCGTTTTCAAGACAGTCTCACTCTGCCTCTCAAGCTGGAGTGCAGTCGCATGATCTCAGCTCACTGCAACCTCTACCTTTCAGGCTCAATCCATCCTCCCACCTCAGCCTCCCGAGCAGCTGGGACTACAGGCGGGAAATGGAGGCGGGACGGGGGGGGGGGGGGGGGGGGGGGGGGGGGGGGGGGGGGGGGGGGTGGGAAGAGATAGCATGGGGAGAAATGACAGATACAGGCGAGGGGACGGAAGGCAGAAAACCACACTGCCATGTGTGTACCTATGCAACAATCTTGCATGTTCTTCACATGTACCCCAAAACCTAAAATGCAATTAAAAAAAAAAAGATGGTACTACAGGCACAAGCCACCACACTGGCTGATTTTTTGTTTTTTAGTAGAGAGGGGTTTCACCTTATTGGCCAAGGTGGTCTCCATCTCTTGACCTTGTGATCCGCCCGCCTCAGCCTCACAGAGTGCTGGGGTTACAGGCGTGAGCCATCTCACCCGGCCTAACATTTTTTTTTTTTTTTTTTTTTTTTTACTAGAGATGAAATCTAGCTCTGTTGCTCAGGCTGGTCTCGAACTCCTGAGTTCAAGCAATCCTCCTGCCTCAGTCTCCCAAAGTGCTGGGATTAGACGTGCGAACCACCGTGCCTAGATGATCACGTTAATATTCTGCCATCTTATCTGGGGCTACTATCTGTATTCTTGCCCGGGCCAAGCAAACGTTAGGGCATGCCGGTGCAGGCCACAGGACACGGCGGCCCTGAAACACCCTTTTGGCAGCCGGGGAAGTGGGTGGCGACAGGAAGAAATGAGAAGAGAGAGTCCAGAGACGGTCCTGCAGCCTCACCTCCTTCGCAGACGGCACTGTGCGGTCAAGAGCCGCTCAGCCTCTCAACACCTGCGTCCCTACCCATCTAAGAGGCCTGCTGGGGCCCTGGCCACTCCCATGAGGTTGTTGTGATAATTAAATAAAGCAACAGATGAACAAAGCAAGGCACTAATTTGGTTTTGGTTTTGGTTTTTTTTTTTTTTTTTTTGGAGATGGAGTTCCAAACGCCCAGGTTGGAGTGCAGTCACGCCATCTCGGCTCACTGCAAACTTTGCCTTCTGGGTTCAAGGGATTCTCCTGCCTCAGCCTCCCAAATAGCTTGGATTACAGGCGCACGCCACTCTGCCTGACTAATTTTTTGTATTTTTAGTAGAGACAGGGTTTTGCCATGTTGGCCAGGCTGGTCTCGAACTTCTGACCTCGTGATCGGCCCGCCTCAGCCTCCCAAAGTGCTGGGATTATACGTGTGAGCCACCGACGCCCGGCCAATACATTCATTTGTTGTTGCAAGTTATTCACATGAACGCCAAGGGGCAGGCAGGCCTCAGGGATCACTAACTATCCTTTTGTTCCCTCCCTCTGAAAGCAGCGGGGCTGAGGGACTCACCCAGGCTGCCGTGAGCCGGACCTAACACCCCAGAGCCCGCTTCTGTGAGGACAGCTGCAGCTAGTTACACATTCTGGAAAAGGAATCAAACACACTTGTCTTTCTTCCGTGTGTGGCCCAGGGCCTCGGACGATCACCGGGGCTGCGCAACCCTGGAGCCTGCCGGCCCAGCTCACCTGGGTGGTGCTCCCCCAGCCCCTGCAGCCCCTCCGGGGGGTGCACGCAGACATTGTTCTTGGAGTAGATGATCTCGCCATCCAGGACGGAGGGGGACCCGCTGCCAGCCGGGGTGAGGGTCAGGAGGTCCGAGGCTTTGGAGGAGGCCCGGCGAAGGAGGCGGCCCAGAGACATTGCCGGGCAAGTGTTTCCATCCTCCGCACGCTTCGGCTCAGGCGGGGCTCGTCAAGATCTGCCTGGGGAGGGAGAGAGAGGAGATGGTCAAGGGCGTGGACTTGCATCCTGCCTACCCTGGGCACTGGGGGGATGGCGGGTAACCACAGGAGCGCTTCCTGCTGGTGCGCCGCTCCGTACAGGGCAGGCCACGTTCTCCACCTTGGCCAGGCCACCTGTGGGTCACAGGGGCTCAACCCGTGGATGCCACCGGCACCTCCCTCCCCAGGACGACAGCCAGAACATCTCCAGGCTCTGCCAAATGTGCGCTGGGGGGCAAAATCCCTCCCAAGCAGAACCACTAAGCTACGGGAACCCTGTTCCCACCTCAGCCATTTCATAAAAACCTCCAGGCGTTCTCTTTTCTCAGCTTCCCTCCTGCGTCGGCACAAATGAGTCCTTCCAATTCATTAAAAAGAAATAAATAGGCTGCGTATGGTGGCTCTTGCCTGTAATCCCAGCACTTTGGGAGGCCGAGGCGGGCAGATCACTTGAGGTAAGGCGATCGAGACCAGCCTGGCCAACATGGTGAAACACCATCTCTACCAAAAATACAAAAATCAGCAAGTTGTGGTGGTCCCAGCTACTTGGGAAGCTGATGCAGGAAAATCACTTGAACCTGAGAGGTGGAGGTTGTAGTGAGCCGAGATCATACCCCTGCACTCTAGCCTGGGTGACAGAGCAAGACTCTGTCTCAAGAAAATAAAGAAGGAAATTTTATAAACAAAAGGATTAGTATCCAGAATATATAAAGAACCCCTACAAATTCATGGTGAAAAGGAGCAACATCTTAAGAGAAAAAATGGGTGCTCCACACAAGAGGAAGATGTGCTCCACACATCTGATAAACATGTAAAGAGATTCTCAGTTTCTTTTTTTTCCCTTTTCAGACCGAGTCTCCCTCTGTCGCCCAGGCTGGAGTGCAGTGGTGCAGTCTCAGCTCACTGCAACCTCTGCCTCCCGGGTTCAAGACATTCTCCTGTCTCAGCCTCCCAAATAGCTGGGATTACAGGTGTGCACCACCACGCCCAGCTAATTTTTGTATTTTTTTTTTTTAGTAGAGACAAGGTTTCACTGTATTTGTCAGGCTGGTCTCAAACACCTGATCTCAGGTGATCCACCTGCCTCAGCCTCCCAAAGTGCTGGGATTACAGGCGTGAGCCACTAGGCCTGGCAAGATTCTCAGTTTCAAATAAAAATTCAACACCCAACAGACCGACAAAAAGCAATTTTGAGTCTAAAAATACTTCATGTTGGAGAGGATGAGGGAAAGGGGAGCTCTCACCAGCCCTGTCTCCTCCAAGGCGAGACGGACCTGGCAGGATCCAGCATCACTGAGACGCCCTGACCCCCCGCCAAAATTCCACCTTTAGGAACTACCTGAGGGTGGTTCTTCAAACTGCAATTTGCAGCCCTATTGTAGATCCTGAAATCAAGTTAGTGGGTCAACACCAGCATAAGAGGAAAAAAAGAAGAATAAAAATAGAAAATGGCCTCAAACACTGGCCGTGGCCAGGCTCAGCACTGCGTCAGGGAGCGTCTGCTCCGTGAGGACACACCTGTGTGGGTGAGACAGCCTGGGGCGTATAACATGTGTATATACTGTGCGCTGTGACCTACAACGCTGGATGGCTCTGCCTGGGGAAACCCAAGGAGACACCTGCTCCAACGCTTGACAGCCGGTTTCTACCAACCAAACGTCTTTTTTATTTTTGGTAGAGATGAGGTCTCACTTTGCTGCACAGACTGGCCTTGAACTTCTGGCCTCAAGTGATCCTCCTGCCTCAGCCTTCCAAAGTGTTGGTATTACAGGCGTGAGCCACTGCTCCTGAACTACTTTACGTTCTTAAAGTCTTCAAAGTCCGCAGTGCATTTCGTACTTAGGCACATCGAAGTTCTGCCCAGCCACATGTTGGATGCACCGCGGCCCGCGTGGTCGTGGTGTCCACAGTGGATGAGGCCACGGCGGGGCTAGAGCTGCCTTCTGTGTTTCACGCAGCGTTATTCAGTGTGACTGCCCTAGTCACCAGAGCTGGCTACGCACAGCTCTCAGCTGCTTCTCCAGATCAAAACCCTCTTTAAGTGAAAATGTTTTCCCAGCACTGCAGATAATCAAAAGAATGTGCTGGAAGTTTTAAAAGAGATTCCAAAATACAAGTGTTCAAAATACAGCATTTTCTCACATCCCATGAGATGTGGAATCTCCCCGTGGCTCTGGGAGGTGTATCCCAAGAGTGCAGTTTTGCAGATCAGACGACAGGGTCTGAGTACCCAGGGTCATTTAGTGAGCGGGAAACCCTGGAGTGGGAGACCTTTGTCCCCGACGTGCAGAACTCCGGCTCCTCCCTCACCTGCCACCTGAGAGCACCAGGACAATGCCCCACCCCTCCCAGATTGTTCTGGAGAGTCTGGGCTCTTTTTGGAGAAATGGAAAATGTCTGTTAAACATTAGACAAGACTATTTGCTCTCTAAAAACAATTCCACTTATTTTTAAAATGTATCTGCGGCCGGGTGCGGTGGCTCACGCCTATAATCCCTGCACTTTGGGAGGCCGAGGTGGACCAATCGCCTCAGCCCAGGAATTGGACACCAGCCTGGGCAACACAGTGAACCTGTCTCTACTAAAATACAAAAAAATTAGCCAGGCGTGGCGGTGGGCACCTGTAGTCCCAGCTACTCGGAAGGCTGAGGCGGGAGAATCGCTTGAACCCGGGAGGTGGAGGTTGCAGTGAGCCAAGATCACACCACTGCCCTCCAGCCTGGGCAACGGAGTGAGACTCCGTCTCAAAAAACTAAATAAATAAATAATAAGATAAAATGCATTTGCTCTTTTGCAAAGCTATTTCATTGAAATGTAACCTAGTTTCCAAACTCTGGTCACCATCAAATTAGAAATGGAGAATCCTTGACATATTTTTTTAAACTTCTTTTTTTTAGTTTGAAACACAGAAGTAAAAGGAAGACTATGAGTCCCTTAAATTACATCATCCTAAGATATTTGTGTATTTTCCATCTTCTGTGCCCTGTAATGAATGAATGAATTAAAAAACCCACTCCTTGGAATTCTATCGTATCTTCCTTTCAGTTGGATCATAAATATACTTTCCCAGGTGAAATATATTTATGATATAACAAATTTTAGAGTTGAGGTACATCCCCTAAAATTCCTGTGTTGAAGTCTGAAACCCCAGTACCCAAGAATGAAACTGTTTTAGAAGACAGTGTCTTTATAGAGGTGATCAAGTTGCCTTGAGGTCAATAGGACCAGTGTCTTTATAAAAAGAGGAAGTTAGAGGACAGGTGCCTGTATACAAGGAGAGTGCCACGTGAATACAAAGACCGCATCTGCCAGCAAGGGGCAGGCCTGGAGCAGCCCCTCCTGCACAGCTGCAGAAGGAAGGGGGCCCGCCAACACCTTCTTGGACTTCCTGCCTCCAGAGCTGTCAGAGAGAAAAGTTCTATTGTTCAAGCCACCTGATCCCCACCTCTTTGTTAGGACAGTCCTAGCAAACAAATACACCACGTTATGAACACATTCGAAAATTATAAGGCCAGGCAGGTGGCTCATGGCTGTCATCCCAGCATTTTGGGAGGCTGAGGCCGGCAGATCATCTGAGGTCAGGAGTTCAAGACCAGCCCGGCCAACATGATGAAACTCCAGCTCTACTAAAAAATAACGAAAATTAGTCGGGCATAGGGGTGAGTGCCTACAGTCCCAGCTACTCAGGAGGCTGAGAGACTCCATCTCAAAATAAATAAATAAATAAATACAAAATTACAAATGCCAACCCTCCATCTTCACAGAACCAGCCGCCATGGCTAGGCACTCGGCTTCCAACCAGTGGCTACTTAAATAATCAACTCCACGTTTTAATACATAAATCTTCATCTGTATCCTCATTATTTCTAGGGTCACTGTTTCCTCAGGAGGATAAACTGGACCCCAACACCTATTGCCCAGTGGGTTCCCCAAAATGTAAGCATGCTACTAGGGATTTAAATCTCCACCAGGTTCAGAATTGAAACATGGTATTCTGTCCGGGCACAGTGGCTCACACCTGTAATTCCAACAATTTGGGAGGCCAAGGTGGGAGGGTTGCTCAAGCCCAGGAGTTCGAAACCAGCCTGGGCAACATAACGCGATCCCACCTCTACAGAAAATTTAAAAATTAGCTGGGTGTGCTGGTGTGTGCCTGTAGTCCCAGCTACTTGGGAGGCTGAGGCGGGTCACTTGAGCCCAGGAGGATGCCTTGAGCACGACTGCACCATTGCACCACACCCTGGGCGACGGACGTTCCTATATTTATTAGACACTTGTGCTCACCTGTGAATTATCTGTCAGTGTGCTTTGCCAATTTTTCTGCTAGGGTGGTGAAATTCTTAATACTTTTTTTTAAATTGCATTTTAGGTTTTGGGGTACATGTGAAGAACATGCAAGATTGTCGCATAGGTACACACATGGCAGTGCGGTTTGCTGCCTTCCTCCCCTTCACCTGTATCTGACATTTCTCCCCATGCTCTCTCTCCTAACCTCCCCACCCCCATCCCTCCCCCATTTCCCCCCAACAGACCCCAGTGTGTGATGCTCCCCTTCCCGTGCCCATGTGTTCTCATTGTTCAACACCCGCCTATGAGTGAGAACATGCGGTGTTTGATTTTCTGCTCTTGTGTCAGTTTGCTGAGAATGATGGTTTCCAGGTTCATCCCTGTCCCTACAAAGGACACGAACTCATCGTTTTTGATGGCTGCCTAATATTCCATGGTGTATTATGTACCACATTTTCCCTGTCCAGTCTATCATCGATGGGCATTTGGGTTGGTTCCAGGTCTTTGCTATTGTAAACAGTGCTGCTATGAACATTCGTGTGCACGTGTCCTTATAATAGAATGATTTATAATCCTTTGGATATACACCCAGTAATGGGGTTGCTGGGTCAAATGGGATTTCTATTTTTAGGTCCTTGAGGAATCGCCACACTGTCTTCCACAATGGTTGAACTAATTCACACTTCCACCAACAG